AAAAAAAAAAAAAAAAAAGAAATTTAAGTTACTGAATATGTATTTTGTCTCATTTAGTGGTTATGCTTGCAACTTTAGATTTTCTATCTAATTAAACTGAAATTGGATAAAATATACGTATAAGCAGGCTGCTCCATTACTATTATCTAAGTGAAATATATTAAGCCAATATGTGGAGAGATATGTTGGTGGTCAAAATCTCATTTGGAGAATATCATGAATGTAGAATATATAGAAGTGATCTAGAGGAATATTGCAACTGATTTAAGTAGTACCACAGACGAAATGAAGTAGATCTGTGATTAAGTCTAATTAAGTATATCAATGGTTAAGTCATATCTTATTCTTAGTCTACATGGAGCGACTCACAAGCACAAGTTAGCGGACAAGTGGCCTCAAAATCAAGGGACAGTATGGCCTAAGTAAAGAAGTAACGGATCAATGATTAAGTTGTACGGTTGACATAATTAATCATTGTTCATAAATATTCTGTTTTTTTATTAGTTTTCTTCTTTTATGATCGGCATTTGCTTGTTCCAGAAATAGTACTATCTTTGCTAAATTCAATTTCGCTTTATCAGGGGGATGTGATATTTCTTTCACCACCTTGGGGAGGCCCATCATACAAGGCAAAAGAAACGTTTACTCTCGACTTGTTGAAGCCAAAAGATGGGTATTTGTTAATGATAGGTTATTTTACCAAATTTCTCCATGTTGAAAATCAAATAATTCTTCTGCATTTACTTATTCTTAGTATCTCTGTGCATATATACTATATAAGTGTAGTGGGGGTGAATTCAATAGGAGTTAGAAATCGAAAAACCCCTAGTCAATATATTTTTCTACTCTTCTTATTTATTGGAGGGAGAAAGTACAGTATTTCAAACTTGGGTTATTTTTTCTTTTTTTTTTTTAAACAAAGTCTCGAATGGTTTTGAGTTTGGGCCTGTTTGGCTGTGGAAGCAAGTTTTTATGTCAGAGTAGAAACATCTAGGAGGCAGAATCCTAGCCTTCAGAAATATATATGTTTCTTTTGGTAGAAATTATTCATCACAAATTGTAATCAAAAGGTGACATTTCGTTGCAGAGCATCTAATGGCATGTGATAAATCTGATATTTCATTAATTTGATATAAATAAATAAAAAATAAAAGAAAAAAGAAAGACGTCGTCCTTTAGCCTGTATGTAATTGGAATCTCATGGGAATCCAACCGAAATTGTTTTTAATGTTTATAATCCTATCCGTACATGACAAAATTGTTCTTAAACTGTTTGTGTTGTGTATTTGCAGATATTCCCTGTTTCAAGTTGCTCAGGCTATAACACCTAACATCATCATGTACTTGCCTCGTAACACTGATGTGCTTCAAGCAAGAGAACTTTCATGGCTGTCATCTCCTCCATTGAATATTGAGGTATACTCCTTCCTTTTTGTTGTACTATCAACTGATGATTCTCACTTATATTAAGAAAGGTAACCGTTGATGTTTTTTATGTTTTCTAAATTTAATGATATTTTGTTGAATTTTTTGTCATTTTCAAATTTTAATAATCGACTTGCAATAAAATGAGACACTATTAATAAAGTCACTACTATTGGGAAAAGAAACAATAAATTGATTAATATTGATACACCCATCATTCAAGAAAACTGTAATTTATTTTCTCGGTTTTCCACAAGCGACGTATGTAAGGAAACAAATATTTTCGAAAATGTAAGATTGAACGAAATGGAGGGGGTATAATATTATTCCTTATAATAGTGCATTTGGTGTTTATCACTTGCCACTATTCTTGTTGATTCCACTTACGAATAATTCTCATTATCTATGCAGATAGAAGAGAATTTCGTGAGGGGCAGATCAAAGGGAATAACCGTGTACTTTGGGGACTTGGCATTCCCATAGCTTGGTATGCTATGCTGCTCTAGTTTTGATCAATATCTGATTGATAGTTGTATAAAAGGTAAACATTTAGTAGGTACATACTATTACTAGAGAGGGAATGCCGTGGGATTCATATTTATCGCATGTTATATTCGCATGTTAAAATATATTCTGAGTACTTTTTGGCCCAACACAATAGCTTGACGGCCGATAATTTATGAACTATTTTTATTTGATATACCATCGGTTATTGGGAAAAAAAACTACTATTCCAACTAGCTTGCTCGTATTTTGTCAACTTACCATATCACTATTTCCCGATTCTTGAAAAAAGTACCCCAATACCAATTTTTCGCCTCCAAACCAGACTTTCATGCTCGCACGACCTACTGCCATTGAAGAGCTTGTCGGTCTCCAACTACCCTGTAATGAACAGTTAGTTGTGGATGAAGGAATCGATTATTGAGATGAGAAGTTAATTTGAGAGCATTCAAGCCACATTCAGGTGCCATGGTTTGTATGGTATAGACTATAGACTGTTGTGAAATATCTTTTCATTTCTTTGTTATGCCCATGATTAGACTTGGTTACAGTTTCGAATTTTCATGGGGGGAAACCCAGGAAAACCGGCTTCCGACATTTTCTTTGGTATTTTTTTTTTTTTTATTTATTTATTTTTTTTTTATGTAAATATTAAGGGCTTGCTTGTTTACAAATATAATATTGGTATTTGATTAATTTTGTTAACTAAGATTAATTTTGAAAAAGCTGATATGTTTAGTTGTTAGTGGGAGCTTAAGTTCATATATAATATTTAAATTGAAATGTTAAAATTAATTTGGTGTAAAAATATGAAATAAATTATTGTAAGTGATGATAAGTTAAATTTATGTGACTGGATAAATACTGAATTAAACTTGATGTGATTTGTAAGGATAAATGATCGATATTATTTAACTATATTGATAATATTGAGGACAATGTGGTTGAGTTTAAATTGAGTTATATTTTGAGTAAAAATTAAACTTTTTTTTTTTTATTTTTTTATTTTTTTATTTTATGTATTTGTAATTTTCTTGTATGTATTTGTAAAAGAGCAAGCTCTAAATATCCTCGTAACCCGTCCAACCATTTTCTTCATACTAGAATTCTTGCAACTTTCAGCTCTTACTCCTCCATTTTCATTCTATAATCTATTAATATATAAAGATGCAACCTAAAAAAACTTAAAATAGTAACTAAAAAATCTATAAAATTCCCGCCAAAAATTTCAATTTACTATAATAAGTAAGTATTTTTTTTTTTTTTTGAAAATTTTTGAAATATTTGGCCTGAATGTATTTTGAAATTTTTTGGAAAAATTTTAAATCCAAACATTAAACAAAAAATCAGATTTTTTTTGACAATCTTATCTCATCTTAATTAAGCACACACCTCCACTAAAAATCGCCGCTATTATCTCGAGAAAAAAACCCACATAATGAAATCTCCGCTCATTCTCCGGGAGGACCCCGAAACCCCCAATTCTCAAGGCGATTCCCGTAACCATCATCGGCGTCCATCTCTCTTCCGCCGAGATCGCCGTCGGTGATCGCCAGAAGCTCTCCATCAACTTCGAAGTCAGGCTCGGGCCGGGCCCGCTCTTAAGTTTAGCTACAGGTCGAAGGACCTCCGCTGCCTATTCGACAAGTCCTTGAAGACGACGTCGGGATATTTGGTTCCGTGACGGCGGAATTCGGCTCCGTCGGCGGCGGAAACCCGAATTTCTTCTTCACTTCAAGTCCAAATCATGAGATTTTTCCGTTCGGAGGTCGGTGGGGACGGAGGAGAAGAATAGAAGGAAGGAGACAGGGATGGCGAAGACCGATTGCAATTTGGTATTGTTCTTTTTATTTTTGGGAGATTTTTGCCTTTTGCCCTTTTTTTTTGGGTGTGTCATTTTGGTTTTGGTTTTTTTCCAGGAAAATGGGGTTGCCACCTTGCCGGAGAAAAATCGTCAGAGCTGGAACATCTTTGTTTACATGATGGGATTTTGCATATGCCCGTTGGATAGCTAATGTTATTATAATAATAATTGTATAAAAATACCAATTGTTAAGCAAGAATCGCACCCGATTTACATCAAATTACAGAGGTACTTAAATATAAATCTTTTAACATTCACATATATACACACATACACGTCACACGTGTGGCTATTGACTCCAATTGATTTAGCCTCGGAGTATTGAGATAAATGGATTTCGGGCGTAGTATCTTCTACCGTCTTGCCAATTGCCACCCCAACATGTTTTTTCCGGAGTAACAGC